GCAATCACTTGAGTTGAGATGGCTAGCTACTCTGTGATACACAGCAAAGTCTCGTTCATGGGGATGTGCTACCGGAGAACAATGCAACCAATTATTATTTTTGCAAACAGTGAACATTTCAGTACTATATGTGACATATACACAGCACACATTTTTACATCAGAAAGTATTTTTTTCCTTTGAGCTATGGATAAGCAAAAAATAGATCCACAGTCAGCATTCAGGTGTACAGTAAATGTTGCAAGATAAGCAAATTCACAAAGAGCAAACTTGCAAATGGCAGAACATTACCATTCAGCATATTGTAAGTTCCAAGTAAGTTTAATTCCAATTTATAGTCACTTAATTGTATCGTTAATATTTCACATGAACAAACAAGGATTTTAAACCAAAGAAAAAAACCTCAAGTTTGCTTAATTCAAGAACACATGCAAAGCCATGGACTCTAGTTTCGAAAACCCAGCTACATAATAAAATATTAGAAGTTCTAATGCAAATAGAAATAGGAAAGAATAGAAAAAAGGAACAGAAAATGTCATTGCTACCCATGTGCCAGCTCAAGTGCTCAAAAAAGTAGCAAACTGCCTCTTAACATATTTTGCATTACCTCCAGGCTTCACAGCATGAGCAAAATAGCAGAAATACAGAATTGTTACGAGGCTTCAGTATTTACCAGAGACAGGATGGAAATTAAAATTTAAAAAAAAGACAAAATAAAAAGGCATTAATTGATAAATTGATCAAACTTAGAGGATAAAACCTCTAGTCCAGATGGAATGCATTCAATGTCCAAATTTTTTTCCTGAAACATTGATCCAGCCCTAGCTGGAGTATTGTCACAATGCTCTGTAAAATGGTGAACTCTACCATTCAAGCTGGACATTCAAGATCCTGTATGTTCTCTTTGCTTATGACACCTTCAACAATCAATACCAGCACATTTTCAAATGCTCTTCCTATATCAAAACACGTGCTCCAGGTGCAGTCCAATAATGTTGCTGTATTTCTGAAGCATAGCTGACTCTTTTCCCGTTTGTATTGCATTAGCTAGATCTAAAAGACAACATTCTATTAGCCATTTTATTATACGTACATTTTAAGGCCACCACAAGTCTCTGGACTGAATTATTTCTGCATTCATTTTTAGAAATAACTTAATAAAAAGGAAAATGATGCAGAGAGGTGGAGGAAGGCAGTTTCAGACCTCCTGGCCTGAATAAATAATGAGGCAGTGCAGCCATCAATGGTGGCATTACTAAAACTGAGAATGTTCGAGAATCCAGAATTTAACAAGCGCTGATATCTCAGGAGGTTGTAGAGTAGATTACAGATAGGGATGGGTGATGGCCTGGAAGGTTTTGAGAACAGAGGTGAGCGTTCTAAAAAATAAATTCCTTACCTAGGAACAAAAGTAGATTCCCCCACATAATAAGTCTATAAGATATAGCAGATGCAGGCCATTCAACTCATTGAGTCTGCTCCACCATCAAATAAGATCTTGTCTGATCAGGTAATCCTCAACTCCACTTTCCTGCCTCTTCCTCATAATCATTGATTCCCTTCTGGTAGCTAAATGGAACCCAGTGATAGTTAAGACACGGGTAGCAGTTTTAATGATGACTCAAGTTCACAGACTATATAATATGGTAGGTCAGCCAGAGGTGCATTAGAATAGCCAAGTCTAGAGTGTATTAGACAGGGGTAAATACAGGCAATGTTACAATGGCAGAAATAGATGTAATAATGATACTATATATTTACTCTGGCTAAGATGCCTTTCCTTCCCATCAAATGCAAATATAGACATCAACATCTCGCACAATGAGCAATGAAATGTCAGATTACGCAGGTAACAATTCTACCACAAAGAAATAAAAATGAACCCACACTCAGGGAAGAGGTCCAGTGAACAAAGCCATGTGAGGTTCAACTTGAATTGATCATGCTTCATATAAAACCCTGGGAAAAGCACACATTTAATGTTTCACCATTAGCAATACAGCCAGAAGAGGAAATGTATCACAGTTTCAGGCTAAATAATTATAATGAAACATGGTTTTCCTTTGGTCCTGGGGCAGTAAAGAAATATGGACTGAATTATCTATTTCAACTCCCCAAAAGAGTCTTTCAGCGCGTAGTACTAACAAATAATTTTACAAGTTTTTTGCTATGAAGCTTGAATTTGGCTTTCCATGTATTTAATTCTAAGATTACTGAGATCACTTACACAAATTTGACAGCCATATTTCTAATCCATGGCCATTCACCATCACTCCTGTTACCAGAACTACATACAAAAACTCACTGCTGGCAAGTATTTAAAAAATATACAGGCCCATTGGTTTGCAATGCTCCATGCACATTACATAATTAGATATGCTGAATATGCCATTGCACATGCAGCTGAGCGGATTTATTTATCCCAAATGAACTGGAATGTGGATTTCACGTGCAGGCGATATATATTGTCCTTAGCAACAACTGGTATTTTTGTCGAAAGTAGTTTAATGTTGACTTCAAATTGCTGCATGACAGGCTTTTGTTTTAAAAGCAAACAAAAACTACAGAGTACTTGTGCAGCTATAAGACTGGAAAATCCCAGTTACATTTATCATTTTCTGCTCAGGAAATAATTAGTCTAATTTTGGTATCGATGCTATTACTAATGCATTCAACATCTGATTTCCAGTTGCCCTCAGTTGCCCAATCAAATATTTCATCATTTTTTAAAACTTGCCTTTTAGAATCAAACCATTAGGCAGTTTTTCTTAAAAACCTACCCAAACTTTGTTTTCATCACAAACGAACGCTGCATTTGCTCACACCGTATCTTTCTACAGGGCGATTTCCACGGTCTTTGGTATATTCAACAACTTTCAGCTTAAAAGCAGCTGAAAAAGAAACAGTCTGTGAAAAACACATAATCGGCTCTTCGGTTGTGCTCATATGCACAATGGGAACCTTAAGCTGGCTTCAAAGGTTAAATGTTTAAAGATGCACTAAAAATAGTGAGCAATCATTTTTGGGTTTTTACCTTAAAAAAAAGATGTTTCTACATTTACTCACTAACACAAAGGGAACTTAATAAAAGATGAATACATCCCATTACATAGTCTAGATAAGAGCCTAACAGTTCTACAGCAACAAACCAGAGTTAAGTAATAACAAAATCTTAATCAATATTCAGTGTGTAAATATTGCCTGAGGCAATAGTGAAGAGAGAAAATGGCTGACAACTAATTCACATTTGTCACTAAGCAACATTGCTGGCATCTGTCCAGCTGAATAGCTTACATCTTGTGTAAATTATAAGTCTAAAGGCAAGTGATAAATTTGGAGGATGCAACGGTAGCTTGGCCTAAAGGAAAAACTGCCTGAGTCCAAACTAACTTCCCTGGTTTTTGTTTACTCACACATTTCTTATTTTATGCAATCACCCAAAGAAAGGGTGGAGTCCCAGGGCAATTGCTTTGATTGAAGCCAACATTTAAAAAGGATGCAAACAGGGTCAATCCACAACTGCAAGAGTCAGTAGGGTTTTTCGCAAACTCTTTTGATTTACATGTCGTCCAAAATAGACATTGGCACCTAGTCAGTTATAAAACCAGTCAGCTAATGGCACTTTAAGGCCAGGAAACGTGCCACATTGATGGTCTGCCTGCAGGAAGAAATGAACCAGTCTATTAGTAGTGAGCTCTGATTTGAATTTTTCACAGGATACAAAAAATTAATTCATCTAATTAATCATAATAAGTTGTACTTAACTGTGTAATTATTCAATTCAGGCCAATATTATTCTAAAAATGACCCTAAATGTAAACACAAGCTTTCTTGCAGTATTCTATGCAAGTCATATCTGTAGTCTGAAAAATATAATCGGGCAAATTCTGGCTTGATTGTATATTAAACCTCAAAACATTTATCGAACTGACAAGTGTAAACATTCCATTCTAACTTCTCCTGAATCTGGCCAATTTGACATATTGGCATTTACGGCAATATTTATAAAAACGTAACTATAATTCATGTGAATACTGATAAACCAGAGAAGGAGCATCTCCAAAAGACCAGCTCATATTATCTAAGTTAGCTTGAACGTTTCATAACTACTTCTACTGCAACAAAATGTACCTAGCATTTATAAAGAATTGACCACTGGAGCTGCAAATGAACATGTGGTTAATAAGCATATATAATTTCAGTGAATGGCAGAGAATATTCAATAACAATTCTATATTGGAATTGGGGTGATCACAATTTAGAAAAAAAATACAACTTAATGATCATTGTTTTAATATTCACTTTTTCAATAGCACATAAAGCAATTTCTGTACAAGTAAATTGAGTGGAGTTATCCAGACGGCTGGAAACAACTCAATTACCTCCACCATTCACATCCATAAAAAGATTTTAAAACCTTTTCACAAACAACAAAGTCTCGTCGCTAACAAAAACAGAAATTGCTGGAAATGCTCAGCAGCTCTGGCAGCATCTATGGAGGAGAGTCAGACTTAACGTTCTGGGTCCAATGATCCTTCTTTAGATATTGAGTTTTTCCGGCAATTTCTGCTTTTGTTTCTGATTTCAAGCATCCGCAGTTCTTTCGGTTTTTTTTGTTTAAAGTCGTGTTACGGTCTGTCATTTGAATAAGGTTCACCACACTCTTAAAAAAATCGCATTCTCGGAATTATCCATCTTGATAACGATGAAATCTAAAATGTTACTTAAGTTGCCCAATTCGCAAATGCGCAAAAACACAGAACTGCTTTCATTATCAACTTCTAGCCCGCTACCTACTCTCAAGGCTGCTGCGGGGTAATTAGGATTTATGAAAATAATTTCCCTCCCGAGTGACAAAGTGGGTTGAGGTGACTGTTCCTATCTGAGAGACCAAAACGACAAGTGAATAAATGAACCTTGCGTGAAACACGTGTCCAGGGCTCTGTCCCTTCCACTTTTGTCACCACGACCACCCACCGGGGCCCTGCCCTTGCCCTCACCTTGGATAACGTGCTCTGGGGAGATGGTCTTCTTCTCCGACTTGTTGCAGATCTCGTTGGCCTCGGAGGAGATGAGATGAATGAATTCGGTGCAACAGCTCACCACCAGCTCCCGGGCTTCGTTAGCCACCCGTACGTTAGGCAGCGTCTCTTTGATCATTTTATTGATGGCCGCCCGGGGGATTGTCAGATCGTCGTCGTTGCCGGACGCCGAAGCCATGGCTCGAGGAAGTATTTCAGAAGTAAAGAGCCTTCTTTGGATTAAAAAAGATCCTTACACCAAACCCCCCCCCCCCCCCCCCCCCCCAGTTTATGATTTAAACTCCCTCTTCCTCCTCCTCCTCCTCCAAAGGATCCCTCTCTGTCTCCTCCGATCCCACCAATGCGATCCTCGGAAGCTCTCGTTAAATCCCCGAGTATCCAGGCCCCCAAACCATACAGCCCCAGTCACCGAATCAAGCTCCTTGTCTGTCCCACACTCACTCCCCTTCTGCCGGCCACGGCGCCATCTTGGATCGGCCACCGGAAACCATCCGCGAAGCCGGGGCGTACCGCACTTCTGGCGTCCCTGCCCCGCCCACCGACCCGACCTTCATGAGGCCCCCCAGCGGCAGCAGCCGGAATTCCTCCTCTTGGGAGATCGCCGCATTCAGGTCCCACTCGTCCCATCTTTAGTCATTTCAGGTGCCAGCCCCAACTCAGGAGAATATGTCTTTCTTTTTAACCTCCGAGTCCACAAGGTTGTGAGTTCCTACCACGTCTCCACAGACCAAGGTACAAAGATAAAGCAATAAGCTGCGGATGCTGGAGAGCTGAAATGCATAAAAACACAAGTTGCTGGAGGAAGCTCAGCGGGTGTAGCAGCATCAGTGGATAGAAAACAGAATTAATGTTTTGACTTCAATGACCCTTCTTCAAAACATAAACCCTAACCGGTCTGAAGAAGAGTCACTGGAACCCAAACTCAAAGTTGTACTTTGGCTAATGTTTGGAGTCCAGTGTAGTAGTGTTCCATGTTAAGATCAGTTCAGACCATTACCATCATTTATAAGCTCCACTGATTTTTCCTTCTGTGAAGGTGTTTCAAAGAAGAACAGAGAAATTTTCTGTGTGGTCTTCACTCTGAATATTTATGACTGTAACACTATAATTTGTGGTCCCAACACAGACCTCTGTGGAACTGAGTAACCAGCTATTTTCCTGAAAAAGACCCCATTATCCCCATTTTCTGCCTTTTGCTGATCAGCCAACCCTCCATCCATGATTGTAATTTGCCCCTAGGTTATTGAGGTTATTACTTAGCTCTAAGTCTTCAAATGTTTCCTGTGTTCTTCAGAAACTTTGAACTTTGAAAATCCACTATGCATTCTGAAAACTCTTAAGTGCCATCAATTTGGACAAATCATTCAAAGTGTTCCCAGCAGAGTTCAAAAATGGGCATTGGATGATGGGATATGTTCCTTAAAATGCTAGATGCACAGGTTGCTGATCTTTCAAGATCTCTGCAATTCATAGACAGTGACATTGAACTGAGATAAATGTTCCCATTATTGCCAAAACCCACATTCTCCCCCTCTCTAATTTGCAAAATTACAGTTAATTAATTACAGTTCCACAGGGTTCAGTGTTGGGACCACAATTATTCACTTTATACATTGATGATCTTGATGAAGGAACTAAGGGTATTGTTGCTAAATTTGCAGATGACACAAAGATAGTTGGAAGGGCAGATGATGTTGAGGAAGTCAGGAGGCTACCGAAGGAATTGGACAGGCCAGGAGATTGGGAAAAGAAGTGGCAGATGGAATAACCCTATGTGGGTAAGTGTGAGGCTGTACACGTTGAAAGGAAGAATATAAGCATAGACTATTTTCTAAACGGGGAAAAAAAACCTTCAGAAATCTGAAGCACAAAGGGACTTGAGAGTCCTAGTTCAGGATTTTCCTCAGGTTAACATGCAAGTTCAGTTGGCAGTTATTAAGGCACATGCACTCTTACCATTCATTTCCAGAGGGCTAGAATACAAGAGCAGAAATGAGGCAGTATAAGGCCCTGGTCAGACCACATTTGGAATATTGTGAGCAGATTTGGGACCTGTATCTCAATATGGATGAGCTGGCATTGGAGGAGGTCTGGAGAAGGTTTACAAGAATGATGAAGGATTTTTCATATGAGGAGCGGTTGAGGACTCTGGGTCTGTACTTGATGGAGTTAAGAAGGATGAGGGAGGAGCTTATTGAAACTTACAGAATGCTGAGAGGCCTGGATAGAGTGGACATGGAACGGATGTTTCCAACAGTAGGAGAGATTGGGACTCAAGGGCACGGCCTCAGAGTGAAAGGATGACCTGCTAAAACTGAGATGAGGAGGAATTTCTTCAACCAGAGAGTGGTTAATCCATTGAACTCATTGCCACAGAGGACTGTGGAGTCCAAGTGATTGTGTGTATTTAAGACAGAGTTAGATAGGTTCTTGATTAGTAATCAACTAGGGATCAAATGCTATGTGGAGAAAGCAAGAGGATGCAATTGAGAAACATAACAGCCATGATCAAATGATGGAGCAGACTAGATGGACTGAATGGCCTAATTCTGCTCCTAGGTCTATGGTCTTATGGTCTTTGGTATATCATGAATTTCATATTCCCAAAATTTAGTAGTGAATATTATTCAGTTGAACTGCAGCCATTTAGGGGGCATATTTAGTTAAAACAGTATATTCATTTAGTAAAGAATGAATCTCCCAAAACACATAGAAAATATATTAACTGGACCAGCTAAAAAGTTTTGCATAGAAATCTCTGATATTCAGGAAATAATGTTAAGGCCCAATAGCTAATGGAACACTAAAACAAACTAGAAAAAGGTAGAAGCTCAGTTGTTGGCCAAAAAGTAACTGTACATGTGTATAGTTCACTCCAACTTAGTGAATGGTACAGTCTCCTCTACACCAAAGGAAGCTGTTGAGTGTCTACTTTGCCAAACACCCCTCTTCTGAGAGCAGTTTTGGATCTTGAACTCCCTGACACATTGCACGTCAATTCCTGTCTGTGATCTGTCTGCCTTTAGTCTAGCACCTGGCTGCCGTGACATTCCGTGCATATTCAGTGCTTTATATTTCTAAGAGACAGTTCTCCCTGAGAACTTTGAGCTTCATATTTAATCAGTAATTTCAAATCTTAACTAAAACTCCTGCTTTCTCTTTTCCAAGTAGTGAGATGAGTGTGCTGCTTGGAGACCTTTGTTGGTAGTGAACAGCACCCTTGGTTTTGACTGGCTTTTTGTTTCTTTTCCGAAATAGTATCACAGAATTTTTATGAAGCAGGAGGCTTTTTAGCCCCTCATAGCTGTACTGACTTGTAAGTCACTAGAACCTGCAGAGATACGCCAAATTTCTGTCTCTCTACCACATACATTCTTTGTTTCACAAACCTCATGTCTTGGAATGTTTTCAACTCTGAAGTTATAGGCATTGCCCACCAGGGACCATAGGCACCTTTTACTGGGAGAGAGAAACAATTGGTTGTATCCCTTGAGGAGAGGCACTGCACACCAAGCATGGGGCAAGCCAAGGGGATTAACATGACCCTGTCATCATTCTGCCCTACTCTCTAGTCATTTAGCTAACTGAACTCACCAAATTAAACAGTAATTGCAGGAGAAACTCAGCTGATCTGGCAACATCTGTGGAGAGAGAAATAGAGTTAACATTTAGAGTCGAGTGACCATTCCTCAGTTCTGACGAAGATTCATACTGGACTTAAAATGTTAACTCTGCTTTCTCACTACAGTTGCTGCCAGACCTGCTGAGTTTCTCCTATAATTTTTGGTGTCCGCAGTTAGAACATAGAACATAGAACATTACAGCGCAGTACAGGCCCTTGATGTTGCACCGACCTGTGAAACTAACCTGAAGCCCATCTAACCTACACTATTCCATTATCATCCATATGTTTATCCAATGACCATTTAAATGCCGTTAAAGTTGGCGAGTCTACTACTTTTGCAGGCAGGGCATTCCACGCCCTTACTACTCTCTGAGTAAAGAACCTACCTCTGACATCTGTCCTATATCTATCACCCCTCAATTTAAAGCTATGTCCCCTCGTGCTAGCCATCACCATCTGAGGAAAAAGACTCTCACTGTCCACCCTTTTTTAATCCTCTGATCATCTTGTATGTCTCTATTAAGTCACCTCTTAACCTTCTTCTCTCTAACGAAAACAGCCTCAAGACCCTCAGCCTTTCCTCATAAGACCTTCCCTCCATACCAGGCAACATCCTGGTAAATCTCCTCTGCACCCTTTCCAATGCTTCCACATCCTTCCTATAATGCGGCGACCAGAACTGTACGCAATACTCCAAGTGCGGCCGCACCAGAGTTTTGTACAGCTGCAACATGACCTCATGGCTCCAAAACCTCTACCAATCCCTCTACCAATAAAACCTAACACACCGTACACCTTCTTAACAACCCTATCAACCTGGGTGGCATCTTTCAGTGATCTATACACGTGGACACCGAGATCTCTCTGCTCATCCACACGACCAAGAATCTTACCATTAGCCGAGTATTCTGTATTCCTGTTACTCCTTCCAAAGTGAATCACCTCACACTTTTCCGCATTAAACTCCATTTGCCACTTCTCAGCCCAGCTCTGCAGCTTATCTATGTCCCTCTGTAACCTGCAACATCCTTCCGCACTATCCACAACTCCGCCGACTTTAGTGTCATCTGCAAATTTACTAACCCATCCTTCTACGCCCTCATCCAGGTCATTTATAAAAATGACAAACAGCAGTGGCCCCAAAACAGATCCTTGTGGTACACCACTAGTAACTGAACTCCAGGATGAACATTTCCCATCAACCACCACCCTCTGTCTTCTTACAGTTAGCCAATTTCTGATCCAAACCGCTAAATCACCCTCAATCCCATGCCACCGTATTTTCTGCAATCAGCCTACCGTGGGGAACCTTATCAAACGCTTTACTGAAATCCATATACACCACATCAACTGCTTTACCCTCATCCACCTGTTTGGTCACCTTCTCAAAGAACTCAATAAGGTTTGTGAGGCACGACCTACCCTTCACAAAACCGTGTTGACTATCCCGAATCAAATTATTCCTTTCTAGATGATTATAAATCCTCTCTCTTACAATCCTTTCCAACACTTTACCCACAACCGAAGTAAGGCTCACTGGTCTATAATTACCAGGGTTGTCTCTACTCCCCTTCTTGAACAAGGGGACAACATTTGCTATCCTCCAGTCTTCTGGCACTATTCCTGTAGACAATGACGACATAAAGATCAAAGCCAAAGGCTCTGCAATCCCCTCCCTAGCTTCCCAGAGAATCCTAGGATAAATCCCATCCGGCCCAGGTGACTTATCTATTTTCACACTTTCCAGAATTGCTAACACCTCCTCCTTATGAACCTCAATTCCGTCTAGTCTAATAGCCTGTATCTCAGTATTCTCCTTGACAACATTGTCTTTTTCTTGTGTGAATACTGACGAAAAATATTCATTTAGCGCCTCTCC